TCTTTTGGCAGTCAAAGGGGTATTCAATACTCTTTACCAGCACCATAACTCAAAGGCATCAGTTCTTCTTCTGACATCCTTATACATTGCCCAACTTTCAGATGCAAAGGAAGAAACTGGAGAAAGACTGTGACTTAGATCAGATGCACCCTACTTTTTTGCAGATAGCTACAAGCCTATACATGAAACCTAGGCAATTTGTCTTGAGATTTCAAGTGAACCTGATATCATATTACTCCTTCCCAAGAGATGATTTAGAAGATTACAATAGTGGCTGATGTCATAACTACACTGTAGTAGTGCATCTGTGTATCCATGTAGACTTTGGGTTCTTGACTGCCTATTAGAATTGCCTGAGGAGCTTTATATACATTTGTCTGGATCACAGCCGAGTCTCTAGAGGTAGAGCCCCAGTGGGGTACCAGTCACATCTTACTAACTTGAAATGATGATTGCTAAGTTTTCAGGAGTTTTACATGCCATCTGATATCATATTGATAGTTTAAAATTGTCCATGGTTGCGGCATTGACTCTACTGGCATGGGCAGGCTAGATAAGGCTTTTAGTTGTGTGGGGAAAGATATTTTCACCAAAACACCATGTAGTAAGTTACAGGCATCAGTGTTTTCAAATATCCAGAAGATTTCTGTGAGTCCCCAAGGTTTGAGAACTATGGATTTAGACAGTGGATTCTGCCATCACGATAAAAGACAAACACATGGTAACTAAGAAAAGATAATTGAATACAGGTAATTGCTATCATTATTGATCTCTTTCTCTGGAAAGATTTCAAGCAACCTTGCTTTCTCAATTTTTTACAGGAAGGTATCTTTAATCTCTTTACAAAAATCTCTATTTTTGTTTTTTGATGTTTTTTTTTTCAATCATGGCTAAAAGGCTGGAAAGTAATCCAAACTTGTACTCTTGGAAGTGATGCAAATCAAAGTAAGGATCTGACTATGTTTCTTAGTAGAGAGAGTTTGTGTCAAAGTTTGTTGTAAAACTTTTATTAGGCGCCATAGATACAAATCTATAATAATGTAATTACTGTAGCATATTGGATATTTTATGCATCTGATTGGCTGATCTATTCTAAGACCAGACTCACCAGTATGGTTTTTGGTTCATAGATGAGTACTTTAACCATTGCACCACCAGAATGCCTCCTACTCAATAAAGCCATAAAAAATGAATGGGCTCAAATTCATTTTGCCCTCTTTCTTATATGAATCTCAAACTGGATTGATGTCATTTCCCCCCAGCATCCACTTCCAGTACTCATTCAAGTCTGTTGAATCCATACTCAAATTTGTAAAATAGATAACTGGAGGAGGGAAAACTTATGCATCAAAACACTGCATTAAAAGACTTGGAAAAGGCATGATGTAGGTGATAGATTATTGCCTGATGTAGGTGATAGGATTATTGCCAGGCGCACATTCAAGCCACAAGGTCGGTCACCATTTTTGAGCCTATCATGGTTGTTTCTGACTCTACTTGTTGTAATAACTGGTTATTATGCAGTGTACACCCTAAGGGGGATAAACTTCTAGCAAATTACAGTTGAACTGTAATTTTTCCCCCCCAAATCTTGTTATCATTCTGGTGCCTTTACATTTCTTGAATTTGCTTCAATTTGTTTTACTTCAGCAGCCATGACTGAGTTGGAAAGAATCCGTTCTAAGCCCTGTTATATGTGCCTTGTTGTTGTTAGGTTCCTGTCAAGTTGTATACAACATGTAGCGACCTTATGAACAATAGATCTGAACCTGTCCTGTCCTGTGCCATCCTCATAATCTCTGACAGGCTTGAACCCAGTGCTGCAGTGTCACTTGAACCTATTGCATCACTGTGTCAATCCATTTAGTTGAGAGACTTTCTGTCTTTCCCTGACCCTCCACCTTTCCAAGTATCATGTCCTTTTCCAAGGAATAGCCTCTCCTAACAATGTGCCCAAAGTATGAGAGACAAAGTTTCACCGTTTTTGCCTCCAAGGAGCACTATGGCTGTACTTTTTCAAGCCATACTTGTTTGTCCTTCCAGCAGCCTGTGCTCTTCTCCAACTCCACGACTCAAAGGCATCAATTCTTCTGTCTTCATTTGTCATTGTCCAGCTCTCATATGTGTAGTAAATAATTGAAAAGACCAGTGGATGGGGAAAATGGGAGACTGAGGAATGAGAAGAGATGGAGAAAGTAGCATTTACTCAGCCAAGTGATCACATTCTTTGCCTCGTTTTCCTGACTTTCCTCTGACTACATACATCCCCAAAATGCACTGCTCTTTGTTCAGGTGAAACAGGAGCAGTTAGGAGGTGAGGCAACTACAACTTATATTGCAGTAAAAATTTTGCAAAAATGGCTCCTAGGTTGTTTTGTTTCCCTTACCATTTAGAAACTACCTGGGTACTAATCCTGCCCTGTCATCTATAATTTATGACATTTGTCACATTAAATGCTAGTAGAGATATGATCTTAACACTGCATTTACTATTTCCAAGTGCTCCACCCCTACCCCCACTGACTTTGAGACATCTATCATGTGTGTATAAATGTGTGTGTGTTCTTAAAGTGCTATGGATTCAGCCTAAACTTCCAAAGACTATAATCAGAATGCTGAATTACAAAGAGAACAAAATAGCTTCTTTCAGAACTATTATGCTTGTGTTCAGAAAGTGCCAGGTATCTAGAAGATACCTCTGAAATAGAAATGAGTCTTTTAATTTCTTTCACCACTAAGTTAAATCACCCGCTATATAGGTGCAATTTCTTTATAACTCTTAGAGAGGTGGAACTTTTCCAAAAGACTCCTCTCCTAAATCAGTGATTAATCTAGTTTGATCCTGGTAGTCAAAATGAAGTTCACAGAAGAATGTATGTATTGGAAAGAAGGTGAATGATGTTCATGGAGTTAAATTGTTGATATAGTCTCGGACTGTATGTTTTCTAACTGTGGTGCCCATTGTTAGGGGACTGGGAATTTCACCCCTTTGCCTTGCCTTGCCCGGCTGGCTGGCACACCAGAATGAACTATGGCTGCCTCTGCTTCCCATGATGCATTTCCCCACAGGGGCAGCATGGCAGTGCCACAGCACAGTGAGGCTCTCTCTCCTCCACAGTAGGTCTCCTTAGCACGTCTTTGTTCACTGACTGAATGACAGGCTGTTTCCTCTCCTGGATTCCTTCCTGTATTACCAAAAGCTATTAACAGCTCTTTTGTGCTGCTTTAAAATCACAAAAGACAAAAATCCAATTTCAGATAATAACAGCAGCAACTTGTTCTCTCTGAATTCTTGAAGAAAGATGCCTTACTTCATTGAGCCAAGCATGAGGGGGGATGTGGATGACTGAAGGAATGGAAGCTATAGTCTGTAACCCAAGTCCTTCTCATCATCTCTCTTCTGTGTAGTTGTTGAATGGCAGAACGTAGTCTCCAAACTCCATACAACACTAGAAATTTCTCTGAGTTTAAGATTTATAGATTGTCTGCCTGGTCAATTTGCATTCTCTAGGATGTTGTGAAACAGTTTTGTTTAATAAATCAGACATATGTAGGTTTTTCCTAACACCAAGAATATAATTCCTAAAGAGACCTCATACTATTTAAAATGAGATAAAATATTAGCCTAAGATGGAAGGTAAAATTAAGCATAAATAGCTATTTTAAGGTCACTTTCAAGCTATCTGTAATAATCTTGTCAAAGATTATGTGACAGTAGAACAATTCCATACTAGAACAGAACATTCAAGAATGCAAAACAACTACACTCCTTCAGGAGTCCTGTGTGGGCCAAAGATTAGTGAATGTACAAGAGTGAGTAATATCTTTAGTACAAGGGAGTTCTTTGAATCAGTTACATTACAGATGAACCCAAACAAGATATAAATTTATTCCATTTTTGCCTTAAAAGGCAACTACATAAAGAAACAATTGTAATCAAGTCATTTTCTCCTCACAGAGGCCCCGTGTGTGCCAGAGTGGAACTGTGTTCCTCGGGTTTTCAGTGACATTTTTCCAAAATATGTCACCGGGCTTTTCTTGCAAGATACCTGTGAGTGGACTTGAACCTCCAAACTTTTGGTTAACATTCAAGCACATGGACCATCTGTACCATATATATATATATATCCTCCCCCCTCCCCCGTGTCTGTCTCACACTCTCTCTTCTCTTTCTCCTTTCCTCTCTATTTCTGTCTCTCTCATTGCTGTAGAGTCAGAAGCAACTCATAGCTGACCCTCCAGTGGGTTTTCAGAGGCTGTAAATTACACAGGAGAGGACTGCCCGTCTTTCTCCTTTGGAGCAGCTGGTAGATTCAAACCATTCACCTTTGGGTTGGCAGTTGAGCTCCCTACCCACTGGGCCACCAGAGCCTACCCCCAAGTCATACCATCCAGTGACTCCAAAAAAGTAACTAAATATTGTGTATTTGTATAGCACCTTATACATCCTTTAGTGCCAAGAGGTACTAAAAAATACATATATCATATTCTGTGTGGACATTTGCCACACATAAAATGTTCCTTGAATTTTGACTAGTTATTCACTATTACCAGGTAGAAAAAAAAACAATCTCAGCTCTCTGAAGTGTTGGCTTCACCTAGATCACTTGAGATGTGACGCCATCCCAGTCTTTGCTTCTGTTGCCTTGGTAAGTGGCAACTCCCTAACTCCAGTGGCTGGTGTTGGAGTTTGTCACATAAAAATTTGCAGGCATGGTGCCACCTGCAAGTGACAAGTACTACACTCAATCAGAGGGTGGGGTTTCCCTCTTCCAGATGCCTCATTAAAGGGGTGTGAGAACATCAAGAAGTGTTTTCAAGCACATTCCATCTCAATGTCCCAACCCTGAAAATGAGGCTTAATGTACTTCCTTATAAAGCTCCTTTAATAGGATGACACAGAAGGTTTCAATAAGTTACACAGACGTAATGTGTGCTTCATTTCTTAATTCCACTGCCTGGTTACCATTGAACATAAATGCTTATCTGTATTTTTTTAGAAGTCTCAGCACAAACGGATATCTGTGACATCCAACAGGACTGGAAACCTTCCTTCCTCAGTAATGAAGAATTCACTCAGCTGATGTTGGAGGTGATGTGCTTTCCAATTAGTTTAATAAGTTGCAAATTAAAACATGGCTACTGGCTCTAGATAAGACTGTGTCCAAAAGAAACAGTCATTTCTGACCCAGGAAAGAGGTCTGGAGGTTCTGCAATGTTTTTGCTTAGATTTTGGCAACCAACTTGGGCCATGTAAGCCAGAAGTCCCGAAGTGCTTATGCTAGTGTTCTGTTGCCACAGTCCCTGCAAGGAGAGCCCCCCCACCCCACTACCTCCTAATGGTGTGGCAGGGGGTGGGTGTGAGCTGGAGGGAGCCAGAGCAAGAGGAAGCAGGGAAGAAAATTACATCACCTTGTGCTGTCATTTGACTCAAAGAATTGCCCATTTCGAATGCAATTATTATGGCATTTTTCCCCTTCATAGAAATGCAATTGGAAGATAAAAATCTTTCCAAGTTATGCTTTTAGCATGAGCTCATGTTACTTCAGCATGGCTTGTGCGAGTGAGTGCGCCCTGTGCCTCTCCACCCAAGCTAATCCCTCCCTGCACTGAGTAACAGGCTCCTATTTCTTCCCAGGTGCTGTCCTTGGCCTGTGTTTGTCAAAGCCCTGGTGACCTGACACACAGTCCTCCTCACCATGGTATATTTAGATATAGGTGAACTTGGATTACTCTCCATAGAGACACCCAGCGGACGTTCTGATTGGATAGGGCCAGCCAAGCACCTGGTCTTGAGGTGCAGGGAAGCCCCAGAGATGGGGAGGAAGACCCAGATGTGCCTGCCTGGGCGCTTGATTGAGGAGAGAAGCTGGGAAATGAGTTCAGAATAAGGAATTGGTTGCTGCAGGGATTGGAGATTGCTTCCTGGGATATACAGTCAAGCCTGTGAGAGCCGAACTCAGCAGAGCAGACTTTGTTTTTCCAGCTCGCACAAGTTTTCGGCCCCCAATGGGGTGCCGTTTTACCACTTCCGTCTTGTCTCTAGTCGTGGAAAATATTGGTGTTTCCTTCCCCTGACAGGTTTCTGTCACAGTTCTGGTTTTCCTGAATCTTTCTATATCTGGGCTCCACTGCCTCTGTAAGGCTGATGTAAACTTCAATTTACATAGATTAACTATGCAGAAAACAGAAAGTACTTGAGTGAGAAAATGCCAGAATGAAGATGTCCAAATATTATGAAGTATGAAAACATTAATGAGCATTTGCATAAAATGAAAGCTACTTAAATCTATATAGGAACTATATTTAAAGGAAATAAGAGAACTTTCTCCAGAAGCAATGCATTTTAAGTGTGTTCATTTAAAGCAGTTTGTACAATATCATCTTGAATTAATGTCTCATTATGTTGCTTTACATAAGTCGTTTTATCTTTTCATTCTTTTAGGAAAGTAAGTAAAATGCATGACCCTAGAGGGCCCACCCTATTTCCCTTTTAAGTCTGCTGAAGAAAGAAAATGAAACAATCCATCCCCACCGAACCCCTGGGAGTTTCTAGGTATCAAAAGTGTTTACTGCCATTGTACAATAAAACAAAGTAACAAAAATGGCAGCCCATTTACCATGAAGTTGTTTATGACTCATGGCAACCCTCTGTCAGGTTCAGAGGGTGAATCTTTGCAGAAGGAGGCCCGTCTTTCTCCCTCAGGGTGACTAGTAGGTCCACACTGTAGACAGTGGTTAGCAGCCCTGCCTGTAACACGCTGCTCTGTTAAGGAGTATATCATAATAAAGAGGATTTATATTTTTCTCCCAAAAAAAAGTGTCTCTGAAAACCAGGTTCTTGTGTTTAAAATGGGTAAAGATATGGTCTAGAAGTCAGGGCTGAGATTCAAAAGACTGGAATTTCTAGAGAAAGACTAGCTTAGAATTGTATAGGTAAAAAAAAAGCTATTCTTGACGCACTTACCCCTGCCCCCAGTATCAACTCCTCACAGCAGATCTAAAGATTAATTTAAAAAAAAAAGCTCTAGATGGTTGAATCAGATATGAAATCAAACCCTCACAGCCAGATGGGTCTCCTGGCTGAATGGAAGTCTTGAGTTGCATGAAATGCACTAACTGGTTTGTTTGATTCATCTCTGACTATATCCACTCTGTTAGACATACAAACCCAACAACAAGTAAACAGACCTTGTTAGTATCTTCTCTCTGGGGACCTGAGCCTGGATGTTGTCCCCTCTGAGGGGTTGTGTCATCATTTCCCCCTGTAGAGTTCCTTTACAAGGTGTGCTCTATGAAAGCTGCACATTTGTATAGTGTTTACAGAGCCATTTCCAAGAAGATGAGGAATCTAAATGCCACATCTTGGTAGATCAGGATGTTTTCCTTTTTCAATGAGGATTGTGCCAGGAAAGAGCCTTGAAGAATTACTGGTGCCTTTTGAGTTCGAGTCCCCACACCCGATTTCCCAAAAGACGCAAAATGAGACTCAAGGAAAACACTTCCAGTTGTGAAGCTTGAAATAACAAAAGTGACTTGGTTGCAGGCCAGCCAAGCTGTTTAAAGCATCAGCTTGTCACCAGAAACTGGTGAAAATTAAGGCAATCTGCCTTTGAACAGGTTGATGCAGAGGAGGAGAAAGCTTTTCTTATCCAGGGACTTGAGGGGTTTGTGGTCATTCTGAACAATGTTCAGAAGAACCACAGCAATCTTCTCTCTTAGCCCAAAGGTTGCTCTAGAGAACACTAGGGATTTGGCGGCAAGGTTGTGGCTTCATGTACAGTTCTGCACTATTATGGTTTCTTTGATAGTATCTCCAAAGCCCCTGGCAGCATCACCTTTGGGAAGACATGGTTACATCACTTGTAATCACATTCTGTTGATTCGCTCAGACGATGCTGGTGGGACTTCTACAGCCATAGCAAGTGTTCCTAAAGCAGTGACTCAGTGCAGTTCTCATACATTTGATGGAAAATGCCAATGAGCTGATGGAAAGTTATCTTCTGTCTATAAATACCTTCAACTTTTGAACACCCACTGGCTTTAAGAATTCAAGAGGGACTTGAGCTCAGTGTATGAGAGGATAATTTGTATTATTACTCTTGCTTTTCCTAGTCTCCCAGTCTGCTGCTTCCAGAAAGCTTCAGCTGACGCCATGACCCACCTCTGAACAGTTCACCTCCAGAGGGGGCTACATATGTGACTTCAAAACAAGTTTAGAAAAACACTTGAGGGGAAAGAAATAACTTTTCTCATACATCTAATCCAAGCTTTCTCAACCTTAACACATTTTGATTTAGAAAACCCTTTCTTAGAGAGGACCATCTTATGGGTTAAATGCTATTTAAGAGCTTCCTTATTCCTTCCTGCTAAATGCCAGTAACACCCATCTCCAGTGACAACCAAAAATGTCTCCAGATATTGCCAAGTGTTCCCTAGGCGGGAAATGTGCCCCTATTTGAGAGCAACAAATATGACCCCTCCCAAATAAAGTCAGTTTAAGAAATGTGCTTTAGTGCACTTTTTTCAATCTTGCATCATGTTTATCAATATAATAAATGAGCCTAGCTATTATTTCTCTGGTGAAAAGGATTCTGTCTATGTTGGCGTCCTCCAGAGACCACTAGGAGATTCCTTCTGATCCTTGCTCCAGAAGATTTAGCCACACCATTCCAGGCTGAAACCCTAAAAGGATCTAGATGGTGGCATACATAATGTACCAGAGCCTTCTAAGCACATATTTCAGGGCTGGGTTTGGGTTTTTTTCACCCTAAAGCAGACAGTTTTAAAGATCGACTCAGCCAAAGGCCGCTGATGGCTTGCAGTGGAAGTCCATTTGAGCATGTTACTCCCAGCAGGATGGATGCTCTGGGAAGATGGACTGTTTTCATGCTCTTCATCTCACCAGCGCATGTGGAGAGCCATTTGCTAGCACAGTCCCACTCACTGCTGATTTATGTGGTCTGGGTTATAGAACTAAACCCTTAGTTGTGTTTTACAAATACATCACCAGAATTGGATAGTTAATGGACTGCATCTTCTAGTTGTAACTACCTAGAACAGTGTATCCAGCACATAGTAAGCACTCTGTAGATACTTTTCTGGAGCCAGTTGAGTTACAAAATATCCTCCCATCTTTTTTTTTTTTTTAACTTTTGTGGAATAAATAGTATGGAAGTTCTTTAAAAACAGCTCCTTTAAAAAAAAAAACAACAACAACCCAAAACAGCTCCTTTAGTAATTATCTCTCCTAATATAATAGAAACAGGCAGACATCTACCTTGCCTAGTAGCCAGATTCGCTCAATCTTAATATCTTTCAGTGTTTACTGCTGAACTTAAAGTGATCTCCATGGTAAGGGGATAGAACCATGAGATATTACTGACATCTTTTAATGGTAACTGTGGTGATTCTGACTCAGCATGTCCTTGAAACACGTAGGTAATTTTCAAGGCTGGGTTTTTGCCTCTGGTTGGTAAATTTCACCAAGCCTTCTAATGCTTCTGCATTCAGTTGTCCTGGACTAGACGAATTCTGTGTAAGGAAGCATCCCATGTGGAAGCCTGCAGGGCACTGTGTGGTTATTGATGTACTACTCTGAGGATTCCAGAACAAAGGCAGTGTAATAAAGCGAGTCCTTTGCTTTGATGGCACGCTTCGCCAGGAAAAGCTTACTAAAGAGCTTTCAAATGTTGCCTTTTCCACAGGCATTAGATGGCTTCATCATCGCGGTGACAACAGATGGCAGCATCATCTATGTTTCTGACAGTATCACGCCTCTCCTTGGCCATTTACCGGTGAGTTTCTCCTCCAGTGGCCTTTACCTGGGCACATTTATCATTGTTTTCTTAAGAATCACTCTGATCTCAGGTCAGGATGTGTGCAAGTCTGTTTTGGAGTAGCAGATAAGGGGGCAGTAAGGAGCCAAGTCCTGGAGGACAGGACCAAACAGAGGTCAAGGATCCAGATGTGCCCTGGTCAGAGGCACACACTTGCTGGTATATATTCATAGAGTCCCTATGTGTTTTGAGTGCCTTCTGTCTCCTGGCCCTATGTCTCACAGTGCTCTGTTGTGATCCTTAGGATTTCATTGGCTACATAGTGGGAATACATTACCAAGCCTTTCTTCCTGCTCTTAGTCAGAAGCTCTGCTGAAACCAGTCCACCATGAACATTTAAAATATTGTCCACTAGTATTTGAAGTATTGATAGTATAACTCGCAGCATTACAGCAGCATGCAAACTGCCACAATACACAAATTGGCAGATAGATTTTGGTGAAGAACAATCTACACTAAAAATTCACCACCGTCAGGTCAACTCAGAGTGATTTTCCATCAGATTTCTGAGGCTGTGAGTCTTATAGGAGGAAACTGTCCATCTTTCTCCTATGGAGCACCTAGTGGATTAGAACCACTGACCTTTCCATTAGCAGTGACACATGTTATCCACTATACTACCAGGGCTTCTGGAGGTGCCATGAATTCAGCAAAGCAAGACCTGGAATAGAGAAGATGGATAAATCTTATCCTTTGTCAGAGTGGCATAGAAGCCACGGACTCACGAGTGAGTCCCAGCACGGCTAGCTGAGCTGAGAGGCTTTGCAGAGCCTGATGCATGTCCTTGAGAGAAAAACCTGCTCCTGTCCATTCAGCACTGACCATTTGCCCCAAGTGGGGCTCATGGGGCAATGCCCAAGTTCTCTTGGGTTTCCATTCCAAGTGGTAAGCATTCAGTATAGGGGAGATGCCTGGGAATTGAAGTATTCTGGGGAGACACTGTTGGATGATGAAAGCCTAGGAGAATGATGAGGACTGGGGCCGGCAGGGAGGCAAGGACAAATCTTGCACCTGTAGAAAGTGGACATGAGGACAGCAAGTTGAAAAGCAATGATAACTAACTCCCTCCCTTTGTTCCCTTGCCCCCCCCCTTTGCCTGTCTCCTCCTCTCTGCATAAACCCTGCTGGTTCTCTGGTAACCCCACTGAGTCCAGAGGAATTGAGTTATGAAATATGTTCCTGGCTGCTGTAGGATCTCCCTCTTCTACTTTTTTGTTTTCTGCTACATCCCGATTTATTCCTACAGGGCCTCAACCCTAAGTGACAGCACCACAAGGGTCATCCTGTGACTGTTTGGGTTCACGTGTCCTCTTCCTCCCCCTCCCAGCAAGCCCAACCAAACCACTTAACACTTTCAGCCCCACATGTCAGTGAATGGGCCACTAATGTGTGTGATGAGGGAGTACCAGCTTGCCCTGGGTTCCCACTGTTGACCAGGCCTGTTATGAGGACTTGTGGTTTGCTCTCTGTAGCATCACCTTGCTCTGTGGGCATCTGCTATCTCTATTGAGAGGATCACCCCAGCTTTTCCAGTCCATATCATCCTAGCTCATATTTAACTCATAAACCATCTCCCCCAATCTTTTCTTTCAAAGATGCTGCCTCCCATCCCCCCTCCCACCCCCGATCAGAAGATCATAGCCCAGGAAAGGCTTTTTTCCCTATCCTAGATATCTTTGCACCATGCCCACATCTAATTTTTGTGTTTCAGCCCATTTGCTGAAACCAGGGTGCAGTGGGCAAGGTCATTGCCTCCCTGCACTTCAGAGCTTTCAGAATAGGCATGGCCTCACTGTGTAGCGAGTACGAAAGAGAAGCTTCCCCTTGTCCCTCATCTCAGTCTCAGAAGAGCCCCTGTGACAAGTGCACAAGCATCTCCATCAGGATCAGCCCAGCTAACTTTTTGCTGATCACAGACAGTTGGGGAGAAGTGGGAGACGGAGCTCTTTCATGGAGGAACTTGGTGTTCTCTGTTGAAATGGAAAGCATTGGGCAGTAATAGGCACTGACTAAAAGTAATAAAATGTGGCTTTCCTGATGGCCCTGGGAAGCAGATGCAGGAGCCCAGAGCTGTCTGTGTAAACAGTAATTGTACTGCTCCACTTTGTGCTCTTGTGATTATCTGATGACCCAATTGTTATACGTGGCAGAGGGAAACTTAAAAGGAAAACCGAGAGTTCTGATTTAAAATTGCAGAGCAATTTTGGACTGCCTTACACATCCATTTCTAACTTGTGGAGGCTCACAAACAGAAATGACACTGACTCCATTACTATCACATGCAAGTAGAAGATTATTAAAAAATGGCTAGAACAGTACATTGATAGCAGACCACCAGAAATTCAATGTGGATTTAGAAGAGGCTGTGGCACAAGAATATCACTGGTGATGTCAGATAAATTTTGGCTGAAAATGGAGAATACCAAAAAGATGTTTATTTGCATTTTATTGGCAATACAAGGATATTTTACAATATGAATCATAACAAATTATGGCTAACCTAGAGAATGGAAATCCCAGGATACTCATTGTGCTCATATGAAATATGTATAGAGACCAGAAATAGCTGTCCAAACAGTACACAGGAACGCTGCATGGTTTAAAATCTGAAAAGATGTCAGGATTGTATCCTTTCTTCAAACCTATGCAATCTGTATATTGAACAAATCATTTAAGAAGCTGGACTCTATGAAGAAGAATGTGTTCTTCTATAAGGAATGGAGGAAGATATATCACCAACCTGCATTATATAGATGACATAATCTTGCTTGCTGAAAATACAGAGGACTTGAAACAATTGCTCCAGAAATCATAGGCTACAGTCTTCAATATGGAATTACATCTCGCCATGAAGAAAACAAAGATCCTCATCACTGGACCGATAGACAATATCATGATAGATGAAGAGATTGAAGTTGTCAACAGTTTCACCTTACTTGGGCCTACAATCAACACTCTTGGCATCAACAGTTAAGAAATCAGCAGACATGATACATTAGGAAAATCTGCCATCAAGTACCTCTCTGAAGTGTTAAGGAGAAATTATGTCAGTGCAACTGATGGCAAGCCATGGCCTTTTCAATTATTTCCTATACATCTGAAAGTTGGGCAATGAATAAGGATAACAGAATAAGAATGAAGACATTTGAGTTGTTGAGTTGTGACATTGGGGAAGAATACTGAATATCCTGTGGACTGTCCAAAGAACAAACAAGTCTGTCTCGGAGAAAGTACAGCCAGGTTGCTCTTACAGGTAAGAATGATGACATTTTGTCTCATATACTTTGGGAATGTTGTTAGGAATGGACAGTCCTTGGGAGAAAAAAGACATCATGCTGGGAATTGTGGAGAGAGGAAGACTGTCAGCAAGGTGGACCAACACAATGACTGTAACAGTGGCTTCTAGTATATCAGAAGTCATGAGAATGGTACAAGGGGGGCTAAGTTCAGATCTGTTCTTCATAGGATCACTACGAGTCGTAATCTACTTGAAGGCATCTAACAGCAACAGCCAGAGGAAACTTGGAAGAAAGGCCCAGCAGTCTGCTTCAAAAAAAAAAAATAAAATAAATAAAAATTGCACATTATGTTTCCTCAAAAAGCTAAACATAGAAATTCTGTATGACCCAACTATTCCACTGCTTGGTATATACTCAGAAAAAATGAGAACTGAGGCACAAACAGAGACTTAATGCACCAATGTTCATAGCAGCGTTATTCACCATCACAAGAACATGGAAACAGCCAAAATGTCCAACCACAATTGGGTGGATTGAGAAATTATGGCACATTCGCATGATTAAATGCTATGCAGAATACAGGAGCAGTGATTTTGAAAATCACAAACTAACTTGGGAGGGTCTGGAGAGCATTATGCTAAATGAACTAACTCAGTCCCATAAGGACCAATAAGACCATTATGGTAGCTACAAACAGGAAGTAAAATGTGTATGAGGATCCCAAAGAGGGAGGGTGGGAGCAGAGGGGTGAGGATGGGCAGGGGGTAATCATAGTGTTGCACAATTTGATGGGTGGAGGAAGGAGTGGGTAAAGGAAATGGGAAAGATCCAGTGAGAAAATCAGTGTATACAAACTTTGTAAGTAAACCAATATAAAAACTAAAAAAATTTTTTTAAAAAGCCCACTGAAAACCCCTTGTTCTACTCTGACACACATTGAGTCACAGTGAGTCACATCAACTAGACAGGAATTAATAAATGGTAGGTTCAGCTGGATGCTTATTAAATATTTGTTTACAGGTCCACAGAGCTCTGGTGGCCTAAGGGCATATTATGCTGCCAACCCAGGCACCCCCTGTTGTACAGGAGGAAGGTGGGCAGTCAATTTACAGCCTCTGAAAATCTTGCTTAGAGGGTCAGCGGTCAGTCAGTCCGAACTCGACAACAGTGAGTTGAGTGTTTTAAGTTGATCCTAGTGCACACACTGACAGTCAGTTTTTCTGTGTTCTCCCCAGTGGAGGTGAGCCAGGAGTAACAGTCCTCACATTTAATATCTGTTTTACAGCATCCACCTGCATTCTTTGAGAGGTGGAGAAGAGGAATTGAGGTTGCACACTTCCCTAGTCCAGCCAGCATCCACTTGATCTACTTGAGCCAAGAGCAGGGTCTGGGAGTCAAACCTCTGTTATTTCAGTTGCTGTTAAGTCAACTCCATGTGCTTGAGGCTAGACCTATGCTCCCTCCATAGGATTCTCAGTGGCTCATTCAGGAGCACTGGTGCCATAGTCCATAACATGTTATCCTGCTAATCGAAAGGCTGCCATCTTTGGCAGAAGATGGGGAGTCTCCTTCTGTTATAACTTTGAGAACCTGATGGAGGGTCACCCTGAGTCAGTATTGACTTGACAGCATAGAAGTAGATCACCAGGCCTTACTTCTGAAATGCCATTGTGTAGACTCAAACTTTCAACCTTTCAGTTAACAGCTGAGCAGGTTGACCACTTACACACAGAGAGACACAAACACCCTGGACGGTTTTATACTTTCTCTCTCTCTCTCTCTCTCTCTCTCTCTCTCTCTCACACACACACACACACACACACACACACACACACACACGACAGAATAGAAAAGTCAAGGCGGCCCGGGAATTGAGAAGTGCTGGCTCAAACCTGGTGCATTTGGTCACAAGGCCAAACCCTCAGCACTGATGTCCTCTTGGTAAAGGATTTGAGTTGTGATTTAGGAATTCTCTTTCCTGTCTAGTTTTGTTTCAGTCTTACTTGTTCAGCACCTGTCCACTGATGCTGCATGTGTCCAGAAGGCTCGTGCAAGATTATCTTCAGAATTTCTGATTAGTTGAATACTTATTGCTGGGTGTCAGCAAGTCGACTACGATTAATCGCAGCCCTGTGACCAACAGATCTGGCCCTTGCCCTGCCCCATCCTCGCCACCTTCATCGTGCTCAAGCCCATTGTGACAGGCATTGTGTCACCCCATCTGGCTGAGAGGTTTCCTCTGCTTCTGACCCTCTACCTGTCCCAGCGTGATGTCCTTTTCCAAGGACTGGCCCTCCTGACAACATGCCCAAAGTATGTGAGACAAAGTTTCAGCATCCTTTCTTCTAAGGAGAGCCCTGGCCCTTACTTTCAACAGTCCATGGGATATTCAATAGTCATCTTCAATACCCCAATTTAAAGGCATCAATTCTTCTTCATTCTTCCCCATTCACTATTCAACGTTCAGAGCCATAGGAAATAATTTAAAATACCACGTCTTACATCAGGTACATCTTGGTCTTTAAACGCACATCCTTACTGTTTAGTACTTGTAAAAGGTCTTTGACAGCAGATTTCCCCGGTGCAACACATCTTTTGATATCTTGACTGCTGCTACCAGGGGTGTTGACTGTGGATTCGAGTAAACTGTGATTATTGACAGCTTCCCTCTTTCTCCATCATGTTGTTGCCTGTTGGTCCCATTGTTTTCTTGATGTTTAGCTGAGTATCATCTGTTAAATCATTAGGGAGTAATAGCAATAGAGGCAACATCTATGGAGCACTTAGTGTGTACCAGGCACCATGCAGTCATTAATATATATGAAGCATTAGGCCTGTGCCTAGCACAGAGCAAGGGCTCAATCACTGTTGTTCCCTGTCTCAGTCCTATGAAGTAGGTATTTACACAATTCACAGATGAGGAACCTGAGGCACAGAGACAGTAACTCCATCCCTCAGGCGCTCATAGCCAGACAGTAGTGGAGCTGAGATTTTCATTCATACTCTTTAACTCCAGAGTCATGTACTTAAACACCACTCAGATTTCTGTATAGGACAGAGTGGCAAGGAGTACTTTCAAAGGAAAGCAACTGGTTAGGAGAAGAGAGGAGGAAGAACTGGAGTGTGATGGTCAGTCTTTATGAGGATGGAAATGGAGATGATAAGAAGCTTGGTAGGAAGGTGCTGGGGCCGGCACAGGGGCTCGGTGTGGGCAGGTCAGGGAGGCCATGAGCTGTGCCAATGTGCACACCAGGCCCTTGGGCCCCTGTCCCTTGTGTGACTGTAGAGGGACACCACTGATGACAGGGGGAGATGAAGAGGAGCAGAAATTTAAGACTGTTAGGATTAAAGTATCTCTTAAAGTTCTCTTCTTACTCCGGCAAACTCAGACCTGACCAAAGCTCACATGACAGATTTTTTTGTACTGCTGTTAATCTGATGAAATGTACTAGAACTTTCTTTTTTAATTTGACACAGAGAAAGACAGAAGAAAATAATTCAAGAAGCAGAAAGTGATTTTCAAATAAAGTCAGAACTTGGAAATGGGGACCTCACAATCACCTTAAGAATTTGGGCAGGGCCCTGCTATGTTGAGCATTATGATGAAGTCAGTTCAGATTAATAGAGACAGAAGAAGACTGGGAAGAAGATTGTGGGCTTGTCTCCTAAGGAACCCCTGTGTGGGTTTTAACAGCAAACCTTGTGGCTGGTGATGGAGCACTTAACACAAGTTGTAGAAATCTGTAGATTAAAGTAATGTTTCCATTGGTTCCCAGGGAAATGCTCCTTTAAGAAGAAGGTTGAAGTATCTAAGTGGAGGCCAAGTTCTTGTGTCAGTGGTCACAGCAGAGACATGAGGTCACCGGAGAGGGGAGATAGTGCCCCTGGCTTAGTTAGGAACATGGAGCTGCAGGGCCAAGACCATGAAACACATTTTTCCAAGAAGCATCCCTCTCCCTTTCCAAGCCCAGCTGTTTCCTCAACCTCTTTGGAGAACAGCCTAATAAGGTGGTCATGTCAGAAGGGACCCCAGGCCAGGATGGAGCTGGGGGTTGCTCTGTCTACATGGAGTCCTAACAGGTTTAAACTGCAGCTCAAATTTTACCACAATCAAAAGGACCTCACATAGGCTTGTATGTTACGTTTTACTTTCTTTATGCCTTTCAGTGTTTATATAGCATGTATTCAAAAGTGTGTCTGTTTAGAGCCATCACAGAAATTAGAAATAGAACATGACCAGGACTGCAGAAACTCATCTTCTCCTTTGCCGCTACCTCCCACCTTCTCCCTAGAGTCTGCCATTCCCTGCTGTATTTGCACGCTCTCCACTATGCCCGAGCCCATTGGGGTGGTCACTGTGTCACTCCACTTTTTATGACCTTCCACCTTGCCCAGCATAATGTCTTTCTCTAAGGTCTGGTCCCTCCAGAGGATATGAGACAAATCTTCCCATCCTTGCCACTGAGAACCACCCTGGTTACACTTCCTCCAACCCAGACTTGCTTGTTCTTTTGATAGTTCATGGCATATTCGATACTTTGTGCCAAATGGTAGCTCTCAGTAAATATTGGCCGAATAAACAGCTTGTGGAATAAGTTGCTTTAGAATCAGTCTACTGCGTGTCTTCTACCATTCTCTTAGCATCATCTCTCTCCTGGTAGTTGCCACTTCTCCCCTCTCAGGCCTTTAGAAGGTTCTTTCAGCACAGAGTCTTGACCTCAGGTCCTCAAGGTCCCTCCGTGGCTCCTCCTGCACAAAGATCAAGTGTTAATTCCTTTGAGCTTCTCTCTAATCTAGACCTAAAGAAATACCTGGTAACTCACTTCCACAGATCATAGACATGAAAACCTGCTAGATGATTCTTCTGTGTCACACTTGCGGTCACCATGAGTCAGAATTGATGAAATACAGTTGGGGCTTTTTTTTTAAGAGGTAGGGAAGCACTTATCTCCTTTCTCTACTATACGCTTCCACCTGCACTATTCAATAAGGTAGTCATATGTAATTATGTCTATTTTAATTAAAATAAATTAAACATTCAGTTCTTCTATCACACTAGACACAAGCCAAGTACCCAATAGCCATGTGGTCAGTGACTCTAGTAATGGACAAGTACTTTATCAAGAGCATTCGTTTCATATTCACAGTGCACCGGTTCTGTGGGAGAACCAGTTCTAGTGATGAGAGACTTTTAAGCAGGAAACCTGCTTAGCACCAGTTTGCAGTCACCAAGCATGTGTTTTATAAAATATTTATGCAGACCTGGAATTTACTGAGTGTTTGCTCACAGTCATCTCAGCACATGACACAGCTGGGGGGCAATGTTGCCCACGGTGCGGAAGGTCAGGGACCTTCAAACCAGATCAGACACCTCTGGGAAGCGATTCATTTTCATATCATTGCTTTCTCTCTGCCTTTGTTAGGCTTACCTCTTCCTTCACTCTTGGGCCTATAGACAATAATAGTGCTTATAGATAATAACAGTGGAGGGGTGAACCATTTACTTGTACTTGAGAGGACCGCGGCTCATGAATAAAATCCTGTCTAGTCCACACCATTCTCACTCTGGTTGCAGACTGAACCATTAGGACCCACAGGGGTTTTGTTGGCTGAGTTTTAGAAGCAGATTGCCAGGCCTTTCTTCCAGATCTTCGTCTAGAGCTCTACTGAAAGCAATTTAGCATCACAGTACCACACAAGCCTCCACTGACAGATGGTGGTGCCTGAGTGCGAGGTGCACTGGCTGGGATTCCTGCGTGGACGGCGAGCATTTGACCACTGAGGCAATCGAGATTTCAGAGTGATACACTGAGTGTTTCCCGGCAGATCATATTTTAAACTTTTCATTCTGGAAGTGGGTCTTGAATGGTCATGATTGTGCAATCTTTGGGGTTGTTTTTTTCTTTTAATCTTTGCGAGTGTGTTCCTCTGCCCTTTGTTTTCTTTTTCAGTCAGATGTCATGGATCAGAATTTGTTAAATTTCCTTCCAGAACAAGAACATTCAGAAGTCTATAAAATGCTTTCTTCCCATATGCTTGTGACAGATTCCTCGTCCCCAGAATACTTAAAATGTAAGTTTAACTTGACTGGTTTTTACCAGATCGAAAACTATGAATTTTACTTTTGAAAAGAGGTTAGAATGAATTAAGAAGGGAGGACTAATTTTAAGAATAATTTTCCATGTGACTCAGAACACTTAGCAGATTCTTAACGGTGTATTTTCAGTTTAAAGCTAAAACCAGAGTGCGAGATATGTAAGCCGTTTAGCTTTCTGTGATGAAAATTTGAAAGCCTGTAGTTTAAGAATAATAACCCCTTTTGCATGCATGGCAAGAGATATTTTAAATTTTCATTTTAATGAGCTCCTCTTTGTAATAAACAATGCAAAAAATCAATGAACAATCTGCTGATCTTGTTGGACAAATAATGCTGGATTTGGATAATGCCAGCTAACCAACTGAAAACTGAATAACTGGGTCAGATACCCAAATACTGCCCTCCTAAGTCTGTCATCTGGTTATTTATGGAATTTCTGTGCAGATTTTATGTAATTTCTAAGTTTGGTTCAAAATATCTGGCATCCGGGATAGAGGGCTGGCCTTGGTGCCCAGTGAAACATGTGTCACTCAGTGAAGCAGATACAATTACACCTAAACAAAGGTAGCAGAGACGCCTTGCTCTCGTTCCAGCCCCAATCCGTTTTCCCTGAGCAATTTGCCCTGCCGTGTATGTGATGTTACCTCACAGCAGAGCAAAAAAAGATTAAATTAAAGAGAGACGCTGTCTCAGAATAGCTTTATTTTCATATACCGTATGAAAACCACCGGAACTAATCAGTGCTGACATAGCTAACCACCGACATCTGTGAGCAAATTAAGACTAATTGGGTCCAAATATGGAATGCAAGATGTCTGTGAAGTATGGAAGGAAAAGTCTGTGTCACAGAAGTTCTTAGCCCTGTCCCAGAGTCCGTCCTGAGGAAGGTAGGGCCCTGGCCCTGTGCAGACTAAGACTGCCTGAAAATGTTCACAAGAACTGCTTGTTTAGTCTGGAGCTATAACACTTATGATTTCCTTTCTCTCTTTTTTTCTTTTAATGGTCCAGCTGACAACGATTTAGAATTTTATTGCCATCTTCTCAGAGGCAGTTTGAACCCAAAGGAATTTCCAACTTATGAATACATAAAATTTGTAGGAAATTTTCGTTCTTACAATGGTAAGCTTTAATTGCCCTGTAATTGCTGCAGGATCTTTTCTATGCAAGCATGCACATGAGGGCATATGCATCACTGGGGGGAGGGGAGGGGTGATCTATAGTTTTTTTCTGTTTATATTCCACTTCTGGGTTCCCAGGAGGTGTTCTCTGTGCTCCTGTGTGAACTGTCCCATCTAAGAGCCCACTCCTATACCTGTTTATGCTCTGAGGCCCACTGAAATACACACTATTATTTCTTTTCAGGCTGATGAATAATTTTGTATGTGTTGGAAACAATACATAGTTAATAGAAAACATGCTCAGCCCACACACTCAGACGAACAGGCCTTCACTGTGTCACAGAGGTCCCTATCCTTGGTTGGCATCTGCATTTTCACTCATCTTACAGTGCTGCCTTTTGCCTTTCTGAGCGAGCTGGAGCATAGCCTTCTGCTCTAAGGTCCTGTCTACCAAGGAAAGGGGCCCTTTTACTGTAAGCCACAAATCCACCTTAGAAGAATTACTATCTAACTGGTTTAAAACTTTCCAAGCAAGGAAAGTCTTAATTTTTTTTCTTTTATTTTTGTCATTGCCCGGATGACTAAATGCCCAACATCTGGCAGTAAAGACATCAATTCTGAGCTAGTCTTTCAAATAGATCTGTACCTTTGGCTCATTTGAAATGGGAATGCAGGCCGTATGCTGGGAATTTGGGATCCAAAGCCCAGCACATGTGCCCATCATGTGAACCAGTGCAGAAAGGCCTGGTTTCTCTTTGCTCCTCAAAGCTCAGCAGAAAACAAGTTTGAAACTGAAACTTTCCTCAACCTCAGAAGATGAGAGAAAACACATACTGTTGAAGGGAAGGAGAAATGGGAGAGGGAAGGAAGGAAATGCCAAGGGAAAGATGACAGTGGAGATGGGAGGTGGGAGGGAGGTTGGAGGGAGGGGCTATGCAATGCTCATTTTCTGCGTTCTGTTATTGTTTTGCTCTGGTCCCAAGGTTTGTTCTATTACTCCAGTCAGATTAATCCCAGCATTTCCACTGGAACCAGCCAATCAGACCCTAACTAGAATTTTCCCTTCAGCTTCAGATGACTCCCTGGTGTGTGTGATTTGCATAAATATATATAGTTCCTTTAAAGGTTCCAGCTGGATGCTAAAAAGCATGATCCTACTTTGCAGGTCTTATGATTAGTCAGGACCAAGGCTTGGATGGTGAGCTCCCTAGGGTTTAACATGAGGCCTCAGGATTCCTACAATGTTGGAAGCACTAGGTGGTCAGTTTTCCTAAATAGACCCCTTAATCTGGAAAAGCCACTTCAAACTAAAACCTGGTTTGTGAAGGCTTGGCCAAATTTCAAGAGATTGTTTACTAAGGGAACTCTGGTGGTTTAGTGGTAAGGAATTGTGCTGCCAGCTGAAAGTTATGAGGTGTGAATCCACCAGGTGCTCTGTGGATTAAAGATGGGCAGTCTCCGCCCATACAATTTTCTGCCTCTACAATTCCCCTAGAGGGTTGACTATGAATAGGTTCTATCTCAATGAGATATAACAACAACGTTTAATGAACCACCAAATAAATAAATGCTAACTCTTTGGGCTATCTACTTACAAAAAGAGCAAGTGTAACAAGAGAGGTGCCAAGTGTGACTTAACCAATTCAAGAAAGGGGACTGTCCTCATCCATAATAACTACAGCAGCAAACAGTTACTTAGTCAGACACCCCCACATGCTCCTCAACCTCTTTATGCCAGTCATCCAGGTCTGAAATTCATTGTTGACTTGCAGATTTTGCTCACAGCTGTGGGTTTCTTATGGAACTAGGTTGGAGAGTGGAAGAGGCAAAGAATATCACACAATGCCAGTCTAGGTTTAGTCCAGCAGTCCCAAGCCAGATTAGTAAGGCATAATTCATCAGTTAGTGACAGTTCAGGTTCAGTTCAGCAACACAGATGCAAAAAAGCCTCTGGTTTCTTCAATCGTCCAGCAAACTTTATCTCAGAGGAGTTATAAATCAGCTTTTCCTTCAATCAGCAGGCAAAACCTTTAACTGTAGCATAAATGCAGGGTTCCTCTGTTTACACTTTGTCACAGTCTTTTCACAGCAGTGCCACAGCCTCTACCTTCTCTCTACCACCGTCATGAGAAAGCACTCTCATGCGTGCTCTCTCACACTCTCTCGGCTCTCTCTCATTGGTCCCATAGCTGTTGATGATTGCAAGACCATGTGTCTGCCGTTAAGGTGGCTGGAGATTATCCCTCATCCCACCCCAACAGGGGCTAAAATGATGGCTAGCAAAGCCAATTTTTAGGATTTTTGACACTACACTACTTAAAGAAAGTGACCCAAGAGTCCCTTGAATAAAACCCAACTGCACTGCAGTCAAGTTGATTCCAATTCATGGCAACCCAGAACCGTGCTCCATAGCATTTTCAGTGGCTGATTTTTTAAAGGCAAATACTCAGCTCTTTTCATTCTAAGTTATTTCTTGGTGGAATAACACTAACCTTTAAGTAATAGCCAGCCATTTGCACCACTAGGAACTCCTTACAAAAACAACCTATTGTTGTTGTTGTCAGGCAACCCTGTGAAAAGAAGATCTGAACCTAGTCCTGTCCTGCACCATCCTCACACTTCCTGACACAAATGAGTCTAAAGGATGCCAATTCCTGGTGCTGTGATCCATTTAGTGAGGAAGCTTATTTAAAAAGTCAGTCTTGGTCTTCGCCCTAAAGAGTCTAGTGTAGAAGATCTGAGAATGAAGCCTGGAAAGATCTGGAATTCTGGTGCAAAGATGAAGAAAGGGCATTGAGAAATACTGCCCTGTTATAATTCATAGGGATTGTATAATGGTCATAGGAATTTACAGGCAAGCCTTTCATTTACAACTCTTCTTTCCAGACCAACTTTATCTTTCAATTAATATGTTGTTGTTGGATGCCAGAGCAGAGATTCTAACTTACTTTCCCCTTAGGCTGAAAGTAGAACTGCACTGGGGTGTTCAAGGGTGTGATCTTTCAGAAGCAATTTACCAATGTTCATAGCAGCATAATTCACTATTGCAAGAACGTGAAAACAGCCCAATGTCCAACCACAAACGAATGGATTGAGAAATTATGGTACATTCACACAGTGAAAGACTATACGGCACACAGGAGCAATAACTTTGTAAATTATTATCTAACTGGGAGGGACTGGAGAGCATTATGCTGAGTGAACTAACTCAGTCCCACAAGGATAAATATTGTGTAAAACCATTATTGTAGAATGAGTATAAGGATCCAGGAGGTGTGGGAGAGGCTGGAAGCAGAGGGATGTAGATGTGCAGGGGGCGTGTCCACACAGCAGTAGTGCATGCATACAGTTAACTAAAGGAAACCTGAACAGCAGTTAAATCCTTTGTGAATTTGCATCTCTAGAAATCTCCTTAAAATGCTGCTGAATGTCACTCTGAAATTCTTTGTCATTTATCACATTGTAGAAGAAGGCTTCAAGGAAACAGCCAGACTTAGTTTTGAGTTACCTTATAATTTTTTTTTTTCAGCTAGTAAATCTTTCTTTTCTCTTCAAGTTGGGACAGTGTTTGTTTGCCTGAAAAAACATGTGGAAATTAGATGTAATATTTTTGTGTGTGTGTGTGTGTGTGGAAACTTTTACCACTGTAAACGTGGAGCTTTGAAAGCAAGAGAACTGAGTGTCTTTTCAGAGACTCTTGTGCATAGGGATGTTAGAGCAGATCTCTTTGAATAAGAGACACCACATGTAACACGGACCGTGTGAACCATAATCCTATCTGCAGTTAAAATAGACAGCCAAAGATGTCTAGAACAAATAAACTTCTAAGACTAAACCATGTGAAATCACCAACATTTGACCACTTCTGATATAAGATTAAAAATAATTGGAATTTTATTCGTATGTATGCTTATCATAGGGTCATTATACATCGTAAGCAACTCAGTGGCATATAAAAACAATAACATACTATGACAGGTTTGGAAGCAGGAGTGGCATCCACTTTCTAAATAACATGCCTCCAGAAACTCTATGATCATTAATAAATGTCAATAGTTGTAGAGGGGCTTCAAGCCTCTTGTTCATAGAGTCGCTATGAGTTGTGCTCCACTCAAAAGCAATCAACACACACACACATATGCTTATCAGTAAACACTAAAAAATGGGGTAAAAAAAATACCTTGCTGTTTACTAAGTATTGGGCATTAGGCCCAGTCTTTACACTGATGGTCTCTTTTAATCTTAGCAGTGGTCTTCCAAGGCAGTACTGCTACCATCATTACAGCATTCCCATTGCTGTCAGTGAGATTCCAACTCATAGTAACCCTGTAGGACAGAGATGAACTGCCGCTAGGGTCCTCAAGGCTGTAAATTGTTATGAGAGCATCTCTCATGGAAAAGCTGGTGAGTTCCAACTTCTGACCTTCCAGTCAGCAGCCCAATACTTCACTCTCTGCACCGCGAGAGGGTCTTATCTCAGTATTTCTGAGGAGCAATTGATGCATACGAGTGTGAAGTCTGAGGTCCACAGGAAGAGAGTGGGACCAGAGTCATCCTGTCAGACCTGTGACCTTCTGACTCACATTCAACTCCAGTGCTTTACTGATGCACAATCTGCACAACAACTAAACAGCTAGGACCACATGGGCCAGCACCTACCACCTGACATTCTGTTGGAATGTGATGTCTGTCCCTCAGATGTCCTGCATCCAGGCACTAAGCTGCCCTGTGCACTAGTTGCAATCCTGAGCATAGCATAGACTTAAAAGTAACATAGAAATTGCAGAGGGAAAATGACCATGAAAGTAAATTTTATTTTAATAGAATGCCTCCTTATCCGTCCAAAGAACTAGACAAGAAACCCTGCTTTGGTTTATGGCAATGATGTTTGTGTGGGGCTGTTTAGTTTGTGGAACTCATCTGTTGCATTATTACTTGACATCTAAGAAGGAGATGTTGTTAAATGCTATCAAGTTGGGTTCAGCTGAAAACCATCATCAT